AATTAGGTTAATCCAGCACACTATCTTATCAATCGTTATCCATTAAGGTTAATCCAGCACACTATCTTATCAATCGTTATCTATTAAGATTAATCCAGCACACTATCTTATCAATCGTTATCCATTTAGACCAAATATCTTTGCCGTAAATAGGGAATACTATCATATTTTTAAGGCCTACTTTTGAGCCTTAAAATAATGCCATATTTTAAAGGCATTATTTTAAGACTTAAAAGGCAATTATTAATTTCAAACTGTAAATTTTCGATATGAAATAGAAAAAAAAAATGTTGAGAAAGTTAGCGAAATTATTAAAAAAGTTTTCTTTTCACATTTATTATTCGAGGATAATATAAATTGAAAAATGTGAGACATCAAAATTGGTTGTCCAATTAATTTTTATTGTTGGCTTTTTTTTTTTTTTCTTTTCGTGTCAATCCAGTATGGAATGTATTTTGAAGGACATAAAATTATTAATTTTGAATAGAGAATATATGAAATTTTAGTATATATATATATAATTTTCCATCTATATCAGCAATTATAATTTCATTCTTATCATATCAGGAATTACGATTTTCCTCCTGTTCATAAATAGGAATCATGATTTTTTTCGTAATCATAATTAAACAAAATGTTGATAAAATTTATTTAATCATAAAAATTCATTAAACTTTCATAGTTTTAACAATTCCAAATATTCGCTGAAAAAGTTTGATTTAGAGAGAGGAAGTTATCAGGAAATGAGAAAAGTGACGTCATTTTCCGGATGTTTACACGCCATTTAAATCGATGGTTTCAATAGTTTACTAAAAAGAAAAAAAAAAAAGGATCTCTCATCTTTCCCTTCAATCCTTTTCTGTTTTTATTTTTTACTAACCAAAAATTTAAATAACTGAAATTATCATTTACATATTTACGGAAAGTGGGCGTGGGCGGAAAAGGAATGCAAAATGACAGTAGCCTTCATGTCACCATGAATAATCATCTCCTGTATTCACAATAAAATGATTGTTTTGGAAATTTTAAAATTAAAAATTTGAATTTTAAAATGAACTTTTTGTCTGATTTGATGAAAAAATTTGAATATTCTAGGAAATGTTATTAACAATTTGTTTGCAATTGCAATTTGAATGTGCCGATGCACACATTTCATCGAAATTGCCAAAATGGGCTTTTATCAAATTTCTAGCCTTAAGGCAATATGTCCATTTATCACATTGCCTTTCGAAGTGACATGCTAGGCTTCCGATGGCTTTGTATATCTGCATATTATATGAGCAAGGTCAAATTGACATATGACCAAGCACTATGACTTCACTTAAGCATCACTGCATAAAGAAATTATTGACAAATCTTCCAGAAGTTATTTCAGTCTTTAAAACTATTTCAAAAATATCCATTTTGCCATTTATCAAACCATATGCAATCAATAATGAAAAATTTACGCATAATATTTTGCTTGTCAAAATTTTGTCATAATGGTCATTCATAAAAATTAGCCAATAGCCTAATAACATTTTCATTACTGAAATATGTTTCAATCATTAACCCCCCGATCTCCCCGCTTCTTCTTCTTCATTCCTCTCTCCGATCCTTATAAACATTTTGCTCAATCATTAACCCCCCGATCTCCCCGCTTCTTCTTCTTCATTCCTTTCTCCGATCCTTATAAACATTTTCATATTCCTTTAACTCATTAATCATTGTCTTAGTTAATAGTATCTCATTTCCCAGCAAATAATACACACATCAATGAGGATAATAGCTCTTTAGTCGATTTTCCGCCTGCTTTCCCTTCTCTTCTCTTAATGAAACAAAAATTAATTTTTTTTTTTTTGTCAGAAATCTCCATCTTTTCTTCTTTTTTTTTTGGACAAACAAAGAATAAACGAAAAAAAATGACATAATTACGACCAATTAATCTTCAATTAATTAATCATTGAATATGCGAAATAATAATTAAGTTCGAAAAAAAAATCAATAATTTGGAGAAATTTATTACATATAAATGAAGTAATAATTTCAAATAAAGTAATTAATAATTTGATCAAAATAAGGAATTGAAAACAAATTAAACGAAGAATTGATTAAATTGTAAAATTACCAATCCTTAAAACAGAAAATGGAAATCATAAGGGGAAAAAAAATTTAAGTATTTCAATTTGCCGATCAAATTTGTTTTTAACTTTTCATTTTTTTTTTTATTCTGCTTTAAAAGATAATTTGAAAAATAATGCATAATTTTGGTAATTTTTTATTTTAAAAAATTTTTATTCTTTTGAAATAATTTATTAAAATTTTTTCAATGAGAAATATTACAGTAAAACATAGCAATAGTAATTATTTAATAAATAATTGAAAATTTTGAATAAATTGAAATAATTTAACCACAAATAACTATCATAAAATAATGCCTTTATAAAATCCTATAATTTTTCATCTATATTTAGCAAATTATCCATTCCAGAATTCTTGTTGGTGCTCCAAAAGGTGAATCAGGACAACCCGGTACTGAACATGCCGGTGCTGTATATTCATGTCCAATTACAGCATATTATGCTTACAGGTAATCAATATTAATTAATTTTAAAATTTGCTTAAATTTTTGAAAATATGACCATATGTACTAATTCCTTTCAGATAACATTAAATGGACATAAAACAATTAGTATTTTAATTAAGATGAGCAGATTCATTGTCAACGTTTATCTTTCCTTCTGTCCTTTCAAATACATATGGTTCATTAATCATTTATACAATGCCACCTGAATGGTAATATAACTATCAGATTAGTTATTCAGAAGTACCATATGTTATGCTAATTTCATCTTGTTATCAAATTATTATGATTATTTTGATTATTTTAATATATAGCCATCTAAATGATAATATAGCTATCAGATTAGTTATTCAGAAGTACCATATGTTATGCTAATTTCATCTTGTTATCAAATTGTTATGATTATTTTAATATACAAAAACACGTTTGGAAACAATTTTTTTTTTTTGAACGATAACTTTTAAAATAATTATTTTTAAAATAGTTATAGTTCAATTTCTAATAATTATCATATCATGTAAATGTAATAAATATTTCTTATCCAACTAAATTCTTATCAAATATTAAATGAATAAAGAAGAAGTATTAGAGATGACTGTCATCCCATTTATCATTTATTCAAATATTTTAAATGATATATGAAACATTGAACATTTATAAACGGCAAAAATTTCCCAAAGAAAAAAAATTTTTTTAATGCTTGAATAAAAATGCATTGAATTTAATTCTAATAACTTTTTTTTCAAATGATTTCATAAAATTTTCATAATCAAAATTTAAATAACCTTGACATTTTATCTATTTTTGTCAATTAGATAACTTTTAATGTATGTTGACACTTACAAGTATCATTATAAGTATATTCAAAGATAACTTTAATCTCTCTCATTTTTTTTTTTTAAAACATTCCATCGATGTATAAACTAGTAATGAAGAGAAAAGAATACAAACAGAATGATACGATATGCAAACATCCGATAATCGTTTACTTACTATTTTATACATTCTACGATATATTGAAGATGACATTGTCTCATTTTACATTTATGCAAAATGATTTAGTTAAAAAAAATTTCGAATAATTTATTTAAAATGCAAATTATTCAAACAATTTATTTTAAATGCAAAAACATTAAAATTTCAAATTTTCAAAAAAAAAAAATTCAAATAATTTATTTTAAATATGAAAAGCATTAAAATTATAGATGTTGATTGGCGTAAAATTTATTTTAATGGAAATGTATTTTAATGTTTTCAATGATATTTGAAATTATAAATTATAAATCTTTAATTTTCATCTATTTTCAAATTCCTATAATCCTCAAAAGACAACAATTATTGATCTTAGTCTATTGTAATAATTCTAAAAAAATGTGCCTATCTTTGATAATATTTAGCAATAATTAGCCCTAATTTTGTATCCTTAAATTATTCTAATTAATGCTAATTAATTTATTCGTTTATTTTAGCAATCATGCAAGTGCTAATGAAAATTCTAAATGGTGTCAACAGGAAAATGTTGAATATAGCACGATTGATGAGATGCATAAACCGGTAAATAGTGTACTTGGACGACAGTTACATTTCCAAGGGAAAAATAGGCAATTGTTAGGATCTGTAGTTGTAAGTGCCGGAATACCAAACGGAATGGCTATGGTATGTAAAATTTAATTTCTTTTAATTAGCAAAAAAAAAAATCTAATTAAAAAAGTCTTTTTAATTAGAAAAATAAAGCAATATTCTAAATTGAAGAATATATTTGAATAGGAATTGAGAAATTTGGAGAACAATAGACCGGAAAGTTCTTTTGAATGGTCAGTTGACAAGAATTATTTTAGCATATTTGTAATGTTTAGGATCGATCAATAAAGAAGTTAGAAGTAAGTTAACCCTTAAAGTTAGGTAATTTAGTAGGTAAAATTATGAAATAATACTATGATTGTAGCGACGACTTTTGTTTTATTAAAGGTAAGTAAAACAGGTAAAAAAATTAAAGATAAGTAAAACAGGTAAAAAAGGGTAAGTAAAACAGTAAAACAGGTATAATCAGATGAATTGATAAATAATTCTTTCTTCTTCTTCTTTTCAGGCTTGTGCACCATTAGTACGATATCACAATAGTTCAGCATATACGGATGGTACTTGTTTTGTACTTGAAAGTGATCTCACTCAAAAGGTTTCCTTGTTTTTGTTTATTTATTTATATACAAGCACAAATAGATAATTATAGCTTAATTAGAAAGCTTATTTGATGAGATCAAAATTAGAATTGTTATTTGAATTATTTAAAATTCTTTCTTAAAAATTTAAATTTCTACACAATTAATGATTAATAGTTTATTGGAAAAATAGGAATTCAATTCCTGTTTTTTTTTTTTTTTAAATTACATAACCAGTTTCCAATTCAATCATAAAGCTACTTGGATTGTTTATCTTTCAAGGTCAAATTTGTTTCGAAATAAACATTTAGTCACATTTAGGTGCCAATTTTAAAGTCATGAAAATTGCTATTTTATTAAAACATAAAATAATGATAGATAGTAACCATTTTTATGATTTCCAATTAACTATCACATTTAGTTTCAATTTCAATTTCAATTATAGGATTGGGAATCATTTATAGTACCACTTTGAGCTTGTTTCCGTTTTTTTTCCTCATAGAAATCCGGCTTGACCGAACATACCTAACATTAACCTTTTAATACTATTCAATATATCATATCCGGTTATTACCTGTTGATACAAGTACTCAAAAAATTACAACAGACTATTTTCCTGTAGATTTATTTATTAAAAAAAAAAAAGAAAAAGGAAAAAAGTTCAAAGTTATTTTGTTTATTTCACTTGTTGAGATAATTTTTGCAAATTATTGAAATGTTAAAAAAAACTATGGCATACGGTAATTCGTTTATGGTACCATACAGTAATATTTTGAATGTGCAATTAAACTTCCGTATTTCAGGAAATTCTCGTATCATGCTCACAACCAGGTTTACCTCGAACTGATCGACATAACGAATTTGGTTCATGCATGGAAGGTTTTAGTGGTTATGTTGATGAATCGATGGTTATTACCGGTTTGTTCATCGTTATTGATTTTATGGGATCCTTTTTTCTGAAATTTAAAATATCCGGAAATAATGATATCTTTATATTTCAAAAGATAACCCTTTAAAACAGGAAGCCAATAAATCTTGCCAGACTAGCTAAACAAATTCAACTACAAATTTGATAAGTAAGCTAATCAGGTTAAGTTTGAATCATTTCCTCGAATGTTTCTTTATTTCCAGCTGCCAGAGTTCAGAGGTCAGCAAGTTACAAAGGCTTTTTTTTTTTTGTTTATTTTATAACTTTTCTTCTTGCCTAACTAGTATTTTTATTTTCAATTCGTGCAACGAATTTCTTTTAAATTTAATTTCAAATTTTAATCATTTTAGGCGCATTTATTCATTATTTGCAATTGTGTTATCATTAAGGCCTTCCCTTTCCTTTGATTGAATAATATCCAAAAAAAAGCATTCCTCCCCTCAAAATGTCACAGCTGTTAATGCTTTTTTTTTTCTTTTAAGGGAAAAAATCTCTTATCC